ATGTGCTTCCAAAGACTTATCCGAAAGAGTTAAAAGAGAACCCACAGATTGGGAAGAAATATTTGGCAATGACATATCTGGCAATGGACTTATCTCTAAAATTTATAGAAAACACCAACACCTCAACAACAAAAAGATTAACAATCCAATTTAAAAAATGGGCAGAAGACATGAATAGGCACTTAACCAAAAAGAATATTCAGGCCCACGATCATTAGTCATTGGAGCAATGCAAATCAAAACAACAATGAGATAACATCTCACCCCAGCACTAATGGCAAAGTTCAATAAGACAAAAAATAACTGGCAAGGATGTGGAGAGTTGGGACTCTCATACACTGCTGGTAGGGCTGTAAAATGTTACAGACACTGTGGAAAGCAGTATAGTGATTCCTCAAAAAGCTGGAATTAGAAATACCATTTGACCCAGCAATCCCATTACTAGGTATATGTCCTATAGAAGTAAGAGCCAAGATAAGAACAGATACATGCACACTCATGTTCATTGCAGCACTATTTCCAATAGCAAAAAGATGGAAACAACCTAGGTGTCCATCAATTGAAGAATGGATAACCAAACTATGGTACATACACATAATGGAATACTATGCAACACTAAAGAATAATGTAGAAACTGCAAAACACTGCATAATTTGGATGAACTTGGAGGACATTAATGGTGAGTGAAATAAGTCAATCATAGAAGGACAAATATAGTATTAGTTCATTACTGTAAAAAGTCATGGAAAGGTTTATGTATGGAAGGAAGCTTTCTTTGTTGATTACCAGGGTGGGTGGGGAGGGGAGAGAACACTGCACAAATAGAAAGGAAGAAAGAAAGAAAAATATTACTATTATTCAAATTTATACACTAGCCACCAAAGCCAAAGTTGAGGAAATTGAAGATTTTTACCAATCTCTGCAGTCTGAAATTTACTGAACATGGCATCAAGATGTGTTAATTATCACTGGTAATTGGAATGCAAAAATTGAAAACAAAGAAGAATCACCATTAGTTGGAAAATATGGCCTTGGTGATAGAAGTAATGCTGGAGATAGCATGTTAGAATTATGTAAGACCAAGGACTTATTCATTGCAAACACCTCTTTTAAGCAACACAAATGGTGGCTATACATTTGGACTTCACCAGATGAGGTACAGAGGAATCAGATTGACTACCACTGTGGCAAGAGGCCATGGAGAAGCTCAATATCTTCACCCAAAACAAGGCCAGGAGCTGATTGTGGAACAGACCATCAACTGCTCATATGCAAGTTCAAGTTGAAGCTGAAGATAGTTAATAGAAGTCCACAAGAGCCAAAATATGCCCTTGATGATATATCCCTCTTGAATTTAGAGACCAGTTAAAAAATATATTTGATGCATTGAACATCAGTGACTGAAACCCAGAGAAATTGTGGGATGACATCAAGAACATCATCAATGAAGAAACCAAAAGGTCATTAAAAAGACAGGAAAGGAAGAAAAGACCAAAATGGATGTCAGAAGAGACTCTGAAACTTGCCTTTGAATGGAGAGTAGCTAAAGCAAATGGAAGAATCAACAGGAAAAAGAGCTGAACAGAAGATTTCCAAGAGCAGCTTGAGAAGGCAAAGTCAATTATTATAATGAAATATGCAAAGACCTGGAGTTAGAAAACCAAAAGGGAAGAACATTCTCGGCATTTCTCAAGCTGAAAGAACTGAGGAAAAAATTTAAGTGTCAAGTTGCAATATTGAAAGATTCTATGGGCAATATATTGAATAATGCAGGAAACATCAAAAGAAGATGGAAGGAATACACAGAGTCACTGTACCAAAAACAAGTGGTCAGTGTTCATCCATTTCTGAAGGTGGCATATGATCAAGAACCAGTGATATTGAAGGAAGAAGTCAAAGCCACACTGAAGGAATTGGTGAAAAACACGGCCCCAGGAATTGATGGAATGCCCATTAAGATGTTTCAACAAACAGATGCTGCACTGGAGGCACTCATTCGACTATGCCAAGAGATTTGGAAGACAGCTATCTGGCCAGCTGACTGGAAGAGATCCATATTTGTACTCATTCCGAAGAAAGGTGATCCCACAGAATGTGGAAATTATTAAACAATATCATTAATATCACACACAAGTAAAATCTTGCTGAAGATAATTCAAAAACGGTTGCAGCAGTATGTTGACAGAGAACTTCCAGAAATGCAAGCTGGATTTAGAAGAGGATGTGGAATGAGGAATATCATGGCTGCTGTCAGATGGATCTTGACTGAAAGAAAAGAATACCAGAAAGGTGTTTACTTGTATTTTATTGACTATTGATTGTGTAGATGATAACAAGTTATGGATAACATTGAGAAGAATAGGAATTCCAGGACACTTAATTGTACTCATGAAGAATCTGTGCATAAAGCAAGAGGCTGTTGTTCATACAGAGCAAGAGGACACTGCATGATTTAAAATCAGTATGGAGTGCATCAGGGTTGTATCCTTTAACCAATCCAATTCACTCTATATGCGGAACAAATAATGTGAGAACCTGGACTGTATGAAGAAGAACGTAGCATCAGGATTGGAGGAAGTCTCAGTAACAACCTGTGATACGCAGACAACACAACTTTGCTTGTTGAAAGGGAGGATGACTTTAAGCACTTACTGATGAAGATTGACGAGTACAGTCTGCAGTATGGATTACACCTCAATATAAAGAAAACAAAAATCCTCACAACAGGACCAATAACAATATCATGATAAATGGAGAAAAGATTGAAGTTGTCAAAGACTTCATGTTACTTGGTTCTACAGTCAACACCAATGGAAGCAACAGTCAAGTCATCAGAAGACTTACTGCATTTGGCAGATATGCTGCAAAAGACCTCTTTCAAGTGCTGAAGAGCAAGGATGTCTCCTTGAAGATTAAGGTGTGCCTAACCCAAGCCATGATACTTTCATTCATCTCACATGCATGTGAGAGTTGGACAATGAATAAGGAATACCAAAGAAGAGCTGATGCTTTTGAGTTGTGGTGTTGGCAGAGAATACCTTAAAGTACCATGGACTGCTAAAAGAACTAATAGATTGTTTCTTGAAGAAGTACAGCTGGAATGCTCCTTGGAAGCAAGAATGGCCAGACTTTATTTGACCTACTTTGGTATGTTGTCAGAAGGGACCATTCTCTGACGAAGGATATCATGCTTGATAAAGTAGAGGGTCAACAAAAAAGGGGAAGGCCCTCAACTAGATGGATCAACACAGTGGCTGCAATGATGTACTCAGGTCTAGTGGGGATTGGGAGGCTGGCACAGGACAGAGCAGTATTTCATTCTGTTGTATATAAGGTCGCTATTAGTTGGAGATGACTCAGCAGCCCCTCACAACAACAGAGGTACTGATGCTTTAGTATGTGAAAGAATTCCTTTACAGAAAATCATGTGTACCATGCTCTGTGACTAATTTAAGGGATTTTTCAACAGCAACTTGAACTAGATCCAATTTTGCCTTCCTTGCTAAGCTCTTAAACTATTTCCTTCATAATTATTCCCTCCACTGGAGCAGTGTGCAAGTGAGGTGGGCTGCCTTTCTAAAAGGGGCAGCATTTTTGCTATTTGACCCTATAGCACTGTCTCCCCCAAAAGTGGAGAAAATATGTTTGGAATATAACTGGTATATCGCCCCACTAAGTGCTATGTTATAGGGGGATATATCCCAGATCTAGTCTAATAATCCTTTAAAAGAAGAGAATATGTTATATGGATATGATACAAGGGTTATAGTCCCATATTAATCATAACTTTTGTTGGAAGTAACAGAAACAAAAAAAAATATGGATTGGAGTAACTGGATTCAGATGTTAAAACACTGTCATCCAGGAACAGATATGTGGATACTCTTGTTCATTGCAGCACTATTTACAATAGCAAAAAGATGGCAACAACCTATGCGCCCATCAACGGAAGAGTGGATGACCAAACTATGATACATACACACAATGGAATGCTACGCAGCACTAAAGAATAACGTGGAGTCTGCAAAACACCACATAACATGGATGAACTTGGAGGACATTATGCTGAATGAAATAAGTCAATCACAGAAGGACAAATACAGTATTAGTTCATTATTGTGGGGGGTCAAGGGAAGGGTTATATATGGAGGGAAACTTTCTTTGTTGGTTGCCAGGGATTGGAGGAGAGGGGAGGGAACACTGCAAAAAAAAAAAAAAAATGCGTTGTGCCATGTCACTTTAGTTTTGTATATTTCACTGTACATAAAGTATATTTCAATAAAATGCATTTAAAAAAATCAAGAATCTTTCCCTCCCGTCTTCTCTCTCCTTTCTTTTATTCCATCTCAACATCTCTTCCCCCCATTTTTTTCTTTCTCTGTTTTCTGCTTTCCTTTGTGATGGTTTTATTCCCGAGCTGTCTTTCCCAGTGGTATTACAAAGAGGGCCACCAGCAGCTTTCATCAAACCTACTGAAAAGAGAGGTACTCTTTCCTAGTCATTCCCAAAAATCCTAGAGCTAATTCTCACTAGGTGCCTTATATCTGGTGCCTAGTGAGGAGTGGGAGAGGGGTGAGTCTCCGAAAGGAAAACCTGGGTCTGGGTGTGCTGTTTCCATTAAAGTGAAGCATGGATGTGTGCCAGGCAGGCCAGAGCAATTGGTGTGGGAGGTATTGCCTGTCCAATGTTTTATGGCACACTTTGTATGAACACAGTGAGATTTATGCCTGAACTTAGTAAAAATTCATGGTAAATTGATACTTAAAGAAAGATATCAGGTATTATCACAAAATGAAATGAAAATTCAACTATGAGCTCTGAAGATACAGAATAGAGGCAATCTGATTTTAAGTTATTTCACTGGCAGATTCTAGGGCAATATATGTTTGTTTATGATCTTGTTTTCAACTGCTTCAAATTTTACATGTATGATCATTTCAAAATCTGAGTCTTATTTGTTTTCAAGGGAAAAAAAAAATAACAAAATAATTACTTTATAGCTAAACAGCTAAGTTTACCACAGCAGCTTATTCGTGTGATGGAGGACATCTGTAAATTAGTTGATACTATTCCTGCTGACGCACTGAGAGCTTTGGACTCTGGAAATGAACTGCTTCAGCAGCGAGACATAAGGTATCTTGATTTTTTCATTTTTGGAAGATAACCGATTGCATTCCCACTTCTCTAAGCCAAAACGAATAGGGCAAAATTTCCCAGCATCCTGGCCAGGAAATTGTTTAGGGTGATCTTGTTAGTATTTCATTGTGTTTTAAATTCATTCAGTTTTTCAAATTATTCCTTTAGCCTTTGTATTCAGTATTGAGATTGAAAAAAAAGAGGATATATTTTGCCACAGTGTTTGTTGGGAGTGTAAACTGAAGGTGTACTTGTGTGACCTATCATAGTAGACTACTCATATTTAACATGGTGTTCTGTTTTCTCTCTTCAGACGGAAACTCCTCGCTGATGCAAATTTTAACAGAAGTGGTGCTGGTTTTCTTTCAATGTGGAGATGCAGGCCTAATTTTCTTTATAGCCCTGTAGAAAGTGTGGCATTTTCACAGGGTGATTTCTGTCCTACAGAGAAGTCTGTGCAGGAGTTAAATTTTCCACACCTTCCCTTAAAATCCGTTTCCACTGGTGAATGTTTACCAACTACTACCCCAGGAAAGACAGGATTCTCAACCACTACTAAGAATCTCTTTGAAAGACCACTATTCAGTTCCCATTTACAGAAGTCCTTTGTAAGTAACAACTGTGCTGAAACGCCAAGGAGAGAAGAAAGAAATGAAAGCTCCTATTTCCCAGGAAATGTTCTTACAAGCACTGCCGTGAAAGATCCGAATAAACACACTGCTTCAACAGATGACTTAGAAAGAAAAGAGATTTCAGAAATCCAGGCTTCCTATGCTGTTGATCATTTTGACATAGATGACTTTGATGATGATGATGAGTGGGAAAATATAATGCATAATTTAACAGCCAGCAAATCTTCCACAGCTGCCTACCCACCTATTAAGGAAGGGCAGCCAGTTAAATCAGTATCAGAAAGAATTTCTTCAGCCAAGACAAACTGTATTCCAGTGGCATCTGCTGCTCAAAATATAAACTTCTCAGAGTCAACTCAAAATTACACTGGTAAGTCGAAAACAAATTGAATGCTTATGTATTATTTGAAAACAAAACTGTCCAAAATGAGAATTGCATAAGAAAAACCATAGCAAGCCATCATTGCCTAAAAACTACATTGTTTCTATGCAAATTTCTACTGATAATATGAATTACAAATCACAATTTCAAAAGCAAGTTGCTCTTTTGTCTCTGTAGCAGCTGTAGTTTTATAAAATGTGTAATTATAACCTATTGTAGTAAAGCTCTTAAGTCATTACAAATGTGCTTTGCCTTTAAATTAACATTTTTTAGTCCTTCAAACAATAAAGCTCATGAAGGCCAATTTTTTAATGATTTGGGGGAAGGGCAAAAGCAAAGATGAATTTATATGCTAAAATGTAATTGTGTATATTTTTAAACTTCTGGATTAGTGAGAATTGATTAATTCTTTAAAGTAGAGAAGCAAGTTCTTTATCTTAAGATTTTAAAATATAAGGCGTTCTAAACCAAAACCAAATTCACTGCCATTGAGTAGATTCTGACTTAGAGACCCCCTTTGGATTTCCAAAGGGTAAATCTTTACAGGAGTAGATTGCCCAGTCTTTCTTCCACAGAGTGGCTGGTGGATTTGAACCATCAACCTTTTGGTTAGCGGTCAAATGCCTTAGGCCCTATGCCACTGGAGCTCTTTATGCAGTCTAAGAAGGATATGAAGTGAGAAATTTCTTAAAGGAATCAAATTATTCTTTCATGAGGCCTTAGAATGCTTTCATTTGTTCAACAGATATTTGTTGGATGCCTACTATGTGCCAGGTTCTGGTGATACAAAGATGAATAATGAGTAATTCTTGCCCACTAGGAGCTCATAGTTTAGCAAGAGAGAGAAGTTTTTGGATAAGTGAAATTAGCAAAGGAAAACCAAAATTAATTTTAAAACCTTACATCAACCCTATAAAGTTATCGCTAATTTTTTTTAACAGAAACAAGTTTATATGTGCAAGGTTTTATAAAGTACAGCCTTTCCTATTTTTGCCATTGATGACTTAATACCATGGAGATTGTTCTCACAGTGATGCCATTGACCTTTAAAATAACCATTAGTGGATTTATTTTTATATCATGTTAGAATGTGTCATACTTGATGTTTGCAATTATCTTTGAGACAGTTGAGTGTTGGGGTTAGAGTTACTGCCAACACTGGTGTGAGTACCTCTTATTCCCTGTGCTGAACCAGAGAGGAAGCAGCAAGGATACAGAGCCAGGGAAAATGTGAGAGACGTTATAAAAGGGGAATCAGGAAGCTAAGACGTCTCCAAGGTTTCAGACCTGTGTGATTGGAAGAACTGTGACACCATTAACAGAAAGAGGGGAATCAGGAGGCAGAGTCATAGTTGGAGAAAAGCTGAAAAGGGCTATTTTAAGACTTGTTGAGCATAAAGTGTTGTTAAATCATTCAGGTAGAAATGTCTAGCAGACAAATGGAGATGCATACAGGGCTGAACTTAGGAGGGATGTTAGCAATGATGTTTGAAATTGTTGTTGTTGTGTGCCGTCAAGTTAGCCCTGACTCACAGCAACCCCTCCTTGGGTTTCCAAGGCAGTATCGATCCGGAAGTAGATTGCCCCATCTTCCTTCCAAGGAGTGGCTGGTTGATTTGAACCACCAGCCTTCTGGTTAGCAGTCAGGTGCCTTAGGTACTACGCTATCAGAGCTCCCATTTAAAATCATAGGGCTAGGAAAATCTAAAACAAAGTATAAAGACTCCAATCCTGAGTATCTGAAAGACTCCCAAATTTAAGGGGCAGATGGAGGACATGGAGCCAGGAAAAGGAATTAAAGCAATAGAAAACTCACGTTTGTCTTGAAAGTTCAGTGAGAAGAGGAAGGAGGGAATAACTGGTCATAGTAAGTGCTACATAAAAGTCAAGGGAAAACTTGAATTTGGCCCTCAGGAGGGCTCTGGTTGCCTTAAGGATACAGTTGCTAGAGAGCAATGGGGGAGGAACTGACTTGTTAAATGAATGCACTGATTTTTCTTAACATTGATTATTTTCTTAGATAAGCCAGGGCAAAATTTTACATCCAGAAATCTGAAACATGAGCGTTTCCAAAGTCTCAATTTTCCTCACACAAAAGAAATGATGAAGATTTTTCATAAAAAATTTGGCCTGCATAATTTTAGAACTAATCAGCTAGAGGCGATCAATGCTGCACTGCTTGGTGAAGACTGTTTCATCTTAATGCCCACTGGTATGTATTTTTTTTTTTTTTTTTTTTTAGGATTTGGGTGAAGATTTAAAGAGAAAATTCACTTTTCATACAGCAGTTCACATATACTTTGTCTCATGTCATTGACCAAAATTTACAATGCAGCAGCTCCCCTCCCACTTCCTCCCCATAGTTACCTCCTCCCAGTGTCCATCCCTTCATACTCTTCGAGAGGCCCATTTTCTGCCAACCCTGTATATGATCTTGGATACACTCTCCATTTAGACATACATAATTGTTTAGCTTGTTCACCCATCTATCCGTCCCTATGGTATGTATTTTTAGACATGAATTGGCAGGAATCCATTGGCAGATGTTAAATGAAAGCTCTTCAATACAAATTTTAAAAAATACCTACATACCTATCCAGAATTTCCATTGCTTAGGGACCTCTAAACCTCCTGTGCCATAGCAAGAAAGTATATTACCTCATACCTCTGTTCTGGTTGTTGACATGATAACACTATAGCCCTTTACAGTATTCAGCTCAAGTTTATTGTGTTGAATGGATCTAGAATTTCTTTTTCTTCAGAAAGTTTTCCTTTGTCTACTCAGTATCTAGAAAGCTAACAAAAAAAATACTGTCACCAAGCATGACCATTTCTAGCAATGTATTTGGTAGCAGCCTGGTGTTGCATTGTGGTTAAAAGCATCAGCTCTGGAGTAATGGCTATGGTTAAATCTCAGCCCTGCCAGTTGTGAGTATGTTACTTAGGGCACAAACTCCCTACACCCCAGTTTCCTTATCTGTGCACTTCATAGAGTGGTGTGGGATTAATTGTAAAGCTTGTAGCTAGTTCTTTGTTGGCCCCAGTTTTGAAGCAGCCCGGGACTTTTCTTTGTATTATAAAAACTTACAGTAGCTGTTCAGTGATTTATAGTCATTCAAGTAAAAATTTTAAATAAGCAATTAATAACTATCCCATAACAAGGTTGCTATACTTCTTTAGTTGTTTGTGTCAAACATTTGATGGCGCGTGTGATAGTCCTCCCTCTGCCTTCCACTCATCTTGTTGTGACCTTTCGCAGGTTAGCTATTGCCATCATTATTAAATAGTAGTAGCTTTTTATGTGAAAATTTAGACAATGTGGGTTTAGTAATTAGCATTTCAAATTTCATTAACTTGTTGGTCATTCTGTGTCTTCCATTTCAACCCCAATTTGATACTATAAAACTCTAGCCCTGAAAAGAACGCTGATGGTAATCTAGTCCTGTGCTTTCTGTGGCTTTCCATGGCTCTTTAGGATTTCAAGAGGTACTTTTGAGCACCCTTCCATTCCTGTTTCAACTCCTTGATTTATCATTGTATGTATGTGTATAAAGATTCCAAATAAGGTTTCTTTTCAAAGAAAAAACATTAAAGACCACTGATCTAGGACATTTTGCAGGTGATAACATTGAGGCACAGGTTAAACGGCGTATCAAAATTCATGTACTAATTGACAGCAGAAACTAGAACTTAGTTCTCTTTATTCTCAGCATCTTGCTCTTTCCTTGATATTTACACATGTATGTTAAAGTGAAATTTACTTACTATACATGTGAAAAAGAAAAACTGTGATTTTAGTAGTATAAAAAGACAAATCAGAAGCTTAGAAACTGCTTGGCACCAGCTTCTATCATTAGTGTACAGGTGAAGTTGAAGAATAGGGAAGAGACATTTTAGTTATCACTAAATGTATTGCCATTTTGAAATAGAATTATGTGGAGAAAATTTTTTGGATCTCTTGAAATTTCTTTCTCTTCATCTTCTGTTTAATATGCACAGTGTAATTCTACCCTTCTTTTATTTCAGAGGAAGATTAGAATTATTATCTTACTGAATAAAGTAGTAGGAGTGGATGCTGTGGTAGTCATTATTGAGAAGTTCATGCTAATGACTTGAAAAAAACTAAGATCCTGAAAGTACCTTTGGGATCATCAAAGAAATATTAAACCATATTCAGTATGGTTTAATATTGTATATTTTATTATATTTTACCTCTTTAAAATTCACCCCTTATACTGCCAGAAAAAGAAAGTTTATTGTATTTAGATTTCCCAAGTAGACTTTTTAAGTAATTATATCATGTTTAAGTTACCTTGCTCTGAGATTTTGCTTTTTGCAATGTAATGTGGCTGTATAAGATGTCCTAAAAGGTAATTTTGACACGTTATTTAAATTGCTGAAATATTTTGGCTCTTTCAAATATGGCAAATTGTTGGAACCATGGGGAAGACCACTTAGTGCCCTAGTAATCATTTTAATCATTATATGTGATCTACTTTGTAACTTTTGCCTTCACTGCTACCAAGATGAAACCTGATGGATATTTTTTTCCCCATTTCTCTTTTAGGAGGTGGTAAAAGTCTGTGTTACCAGCTGCCTGCCTGTATTTCTCCTGGGGTCACTATTGTCATCTCTCCCTTGAGATCACTAATAGTAGATCAAGTCCAAAAGCTGACTTCCTTGGATGTAAGTTAAAACAAAACACTTACAGTTATAAGGAACACATGCTATAAAAGCAATTATATACCAATACTTCCAGGTAACTTTTTTATTAAAATAGTTCAGGAATTGTAAGAATAAAGTGCAGATAACCTTCAATAACCGTTCAAATTGATTATTTTATGCTAATAGAATATATTTAATAGGAAATTTTTGCCAGTATTTTGCTGATGTGATTTTTTTTTAACTAATACGAAAGTATTTCTCTTTTTACTGCTGCGAGATCAGTGTAGTTCTCATTTCCTTGTATCTTACATGTATACACATGCATATGTACACATGTGTATTTTTTTCCTCATAGCTGAGGTTCAAGTAGAATATGAATGCACTCTACTAAATCCTGCATATTGTGATCAGACAAGGTCATGAGCCACCACCCTTCAACCAGACCACTGGTTTGACTTTTCTAGAAGAATGTCTTGGTGCGCAGTAAGGGTAGCTGTTGTTCACGATATTATAGTCCCTTTGTGGTGATTATACTCTAAAAACCTAAAGGTACACTTATATTTTAAAAAAATGTAGCCATACATTAGGACTGGAATCTCTTGGATGCTGAATTCCTATTTAGCATACTTACAAATATGAAATAACCAGGAAGACCAAAAGAACATTGAATTTAGAACAGATTAATTTTTTTCAAAGATGCAATTTATATGAAGAATAGAAAAAGAAGTAAACAATGGGAAGAATATTTTGAGTTGTGCTTAATAAGGGTCCCCCCCAGCTATTTACTGATTAATTCTTAGTTGTATTATATTAAGATATATGTAGTTCCTCTGACAGGCTTGATATGTGATTTATAAAATATTTATAAACTCTAAGGATAAATACAAGCTTTGTTGTTGTTATGTGCGGTTAAGTCAGATTAATTTCTAAGATGTATTAAAATTTTTCAATTGTTCACTACTTTCATACTTAGATTCCAGCTACATATCTGACAGGTGATAAGACTGACTCTGAAGCTACAAGTATTTACCTCCAGTTGTCAAAAAAAGACCCAATTATAAAACTTCTGTATGTTACTCCAGAAAAGGTGTGTATTTATATCATTATTTTAAAATACGATATTAAAGCCAACAAAGATACATAATTTCATTTTTTTATTTTGATGTAATTTGTGAGGTACAGTAGAATACAAAGAATTCCTTCCTATATCCCTTTCTCCCAGAAGCTCCAAATACCAACATTTTACTACAGTGGCTTTATCTTTCTCTCTATATATATATCTTTTTCCTAAAGCATTTGAGCATAAGTTGCAGATATATTACCTTACCCCTAAATACTGTGCTGTGCATTCCTTAAAATAACCAATTCTCTTACATAGACACAGTACACTTATCAAAATCTGAAAATGTAAATTGATATAATACTGCTATCTGGTCTATGAATCTTACTCATATTTTGATAATTGTCTCAATAATGTCCCTTATAGCAAAAGAAAGTACCAGATCATGCACTGAATTCAGTTGTCATGTCTCGTTACGTTTCCTTTAAGCCAAACGGTTTCTCCATCTCTCTTTGTCTTTCATGATCTTTACCTTTTTGAAGAGTACAGACCAGTTATTTTGAGGACTGTCCCTTCATTTGAGTTTATCTTATGTTTCCTAATGATAGATTTGTGGTGGTCATTTTTAGCAGGAATATCACAGAAGTGAAATGTTCTCAGTACATCCTATCAGGAGGCACTTGATGTCAATTCATGTTAGTTAGTACTGGTGATGCTAGTTAACTTTGATCATTTGGTTAAGATGATATCTGCCAGATTTCTCCACTGTAAAGTTATTTTATTGGTAGGTATTCTATTGGAGAAGACTTTGGGACTATGTAATAACCTATTACTCATCAGACTTTTGCCCATAAGTTTTAGAATCCACTGATGAGTCTTCACTGAGTAAGTTATTGCTATAATGGATGCCATGGTAACTTTTCTGATTTAGTTGACATTCTACTGTAAGGAAGAGCTTTCCCTTTTTTCCCACGTATTTATTTTTATCTGTATGAACTTATACTGAGGATTTTTAATGTATTGATTGAGTTATAATCAGTTACCATTGATATTTTGATATTTAGATTTGGCTCCATCAAACTGGCTTCTGTGTCCTTTTGACATGTCCCTGTCAAAATGTGGGTGCTGTGCATGCTCATTGCTACTCTAGGATGCCATTGCTTCTAGGCCCGGTCAGTGGACAGAGCTAGGAAATACACATTTACATATACAGATACGTATGTTTCTCAAACATGCACAGACATAATGCAGCTATAACCCTGTTATCAATATAAATGTGACCCTTAGATGTTTTGAAGCAGAAAAAAAGTTTAAGAATGTCTGACCCGATGCATAAGCTGTTTACTGAATGTAGATAAATGTTCTGAAATGTCAGACTTCCCATTTTCTGTTAATTGTGCTATTCTCTTTATAGATTGACATGAAATCAATTTCTGTAGAGGCTGTATTACAGCTTAATAGAACTTGAAGACAACAAAATCATTAGATGATATCGTGTTTACACGTTTTTAACTGTCTGATATTTGTATTAATACGTTGCTGGTCTAGGTCTGTGCAAGCAACAGACTGATTTCTACTCTGGACAATCTGTATCAGAGGAAGCTCCTAGCACGTTTTGTTATTGATGAAGCACATTGTGTCAGTCAGGTAAAGACTGTTTTTTTGTCTTGAAATATCAAGAAATAGACCACTAACAGTATCAAGAAACCCACATTGAGTGAATTGTTCTGTAGTTTCACAGAATAAAGTGGTTCTGTTTTGTTGGTAGACATTATTAATGATTGTGTACATTTTGTTGAAATTTTTGGGTTTATGTGTGAATGTATGTGTGTTTTCCTCTTATTCATCTTGTAGTTAGTTAATTCTTAAACACATAGGAGGGCCTGTTTGAACCAGGCATTGCTTGAGATTCTAGGGATATAATCCTGAATGAGGTAGAAAACTTTCTGCCTCAAGCTGCTTATAATATTAAACAGAAGATGAACTGAAGGATAAACAGGAGCCAGATTTTGAAAAAGTCCTGTGAATGAAAGGGTTTAGATTTTCTCAAACAGGTGATGTATAGTCATTGCAGGCTTTTAAGGAATGGGTAACATAATTAGATTTTCCTTGTTATTGTTAGTTACTGTTGAGTCAATTCCAACTCATGGCAACCCCACGTGCACAGAGTAGAACTGCTTCATAGGGTTTTCAAGGATGTGAACTTTTGGAAGCGGATCACCAGGCTTTCTTCCAAGGCACTCCTGGGTAGGAGTGGGTTCAAACCACCAACCTTTTGGCTAGTAATGAAGCACTTTACTGGGTTGTGCTATCCAGGGACCTTAGAGAAAAATAAAATATTATACTTATCTTGTAGAGGATAAACAGTCATTAGAATGTTTTTAACAAGATATTAAAATAATTAAATTTGTATTATGTTAAAATAATTATCCCAGGTATGTTCTGGAGATTGAATTGGAGGAAGGGAAGACTGGAAAGGGTGGAGAGGGATTATATTCATGGAATATTAGAGTAATGAACAAAAAACATAATGGACTACGGGTGTTGACCAATTTTCACTTTTCATGTAAGGAAAATCCAAGTTGTCTAAAAAGTTGTTTGTTTGGTTTCCAACTAGTGGGGACATGATTTTCGTCAAGATTACAAAAGAATGAATATGCTTCGCCAGAAGTTTCCCTCGGTTCCAGTGATGGCTCTTACTGCCACAGCTAATCCCAGGGTACAGAAAGACATCCTCACTCAGCTCAAGATTCTCAAACCTCAGGTGTAAGTTTTTGAAAGTCATGAATTTCAAAACCCTACGGCAGTGGTTCCCAGATTTTGCTGCACATTAGAATTACCTAAGGAACTTTAAAACTCCCAGTGCCCAGATTGTATCATGCCATTTTAATCAGAATGTTTGGGTTTAGAAGCCAGTTTTTTAAAAAAAAATCCCTTGGTGATTCTAATGTACAGCAAAGTTTGGGAGCCAGGGCCCTGGGGCTGTGCTTTACTTACTGAAATTAAAGCATTATTCCAGCACTATTTTGGAAGTAGGAATAAGTTACCTGCTCTATTTATTGTCTATCTATTTATAGTCCTAATGATAAGTTCGTTTTCATTTATCTCATTTTCGTTTTCATACATCCTGGAGTATACTTCATGAAATGAACACATGACCCTGCATTCTCATTTTCTCTTAAAGTTCTAGTTATATCCACAGTTTTGAAAACAGCCCAGAAACTATTTATAACAGATAATTTACTTTGTTTTCATCTCAATAGCAAACTGCTTCTTATTGCCCCCAAATCCATAATTACTCAATAACAAAAACTACTATGAAAAGTATCCCATATATATAGCTTGTTGTTGTTAGTTGCTATTGACTCAGTTCATGGTAACCCCATGTGTGCAGAGTAGAATTGCTCTATAGGAGTTTCAAATCTGTGACCTTTCAGAAACAGATTGCCACACCTGTCTTCTGAGGCATCTCTGTGATTCAAACTGCCAACCTTTTGGCTAGTGAGTGCTTTAGTGTTTGGACCACCCAGGGACTCCTGTAGATAGGTTGTACTAGATTATTCTGTTCCCATACCTGAATCTGTAGAGCCAGGTATCTTCTCTGGTAGGTTCATTCATTCACCAAATATTCATTGAACATCTTTTGTGTACCAAAGTTAAAATATTTTTTTCATTCTAATTTATTAATGGACACTTCGAGTGTGAAGTATACATATTAACCTGGGTTGTGTATAAAGGAATAGGACTGTAAAGGATACTGGAGTGGATTTTTAAAGCACACAGTTTGTTCATTTGGGCATAGACAATAAGCAGTATCTACAAATATAAGCAATGAAAACAACAGCAAACAGTCATGAGAATAGCTGAAAGTTCCATATGAATGTGAAGGAGGTCGTGAGATTAAGGTAGCTACAAAGGCCTTTGCAGATTGAACTGGCACTTTCTAAGTTATCTGATCTAAAACAGGGAATTCAAATACTTTGGGTTTCTTCCAGCCTTTACATTGTTTGGTTCTAGCCCTAAAATTTTTTGTTGTTAATAGTGCTTTTATATAACACTAATGATCATATGTGAATGCAAAACTTTTGTAATCCTTAGAATACTGTGTGTGTAATCAAAAATTTGGAATGGAATGTTTTAATTTAATCTCACTTTCAGAGGGGTGTTTATATAAAATAAGCTTTTTTCCATTGGCTTACGCCAAATGCAATCTACTGTTCTTTTAGATCAACTATGCTAATTGGCAAAAGCCCAGAGTTTTAAAAAAATGGTATCAATTCCATTCATCTTTTAAATAACTTTTTGGGAATATAGCATGTGTGATTTATGTTCAAGCAAACATTACACATATTTATTTAGAGGCAAATACCTTTAATCTCTTTTCATAGTAATGTGGGGAGATCTGCCTAGAAAAGCAATAGTTGTACATTTCCTGAGTCTAGCACACGGTACTGTGCCTAATCAGTAATTGTGGGCCAAATGTGAAAATTTGGAATTCGGGCAAGTCATTTGACTCCTTAATATATTTGGTACTTTTATATTTAAGAGTAAATCCTTTAATGGAGGTATAAGATATTAGTGAACACCGATGTTGTTATGTGCCGTCGAGTCGTCTCCGACTCATAGCAACCTTATGTGGAACAGAATGAAACACTGCCTGGTTCTGTGCCAACCTCACAATCCCTGCTATACCTGAGCCCATCGTTCCAGCCACTGTGTTAATCCGTCTCGTTGAGGGCCTTCCCCTTTTTTGTTGACCCTCCACTTTACCAAGCATGATACCCTTCTCTAGGGAATGGTCCCTTCTGACAGCATGACCAAAGTAGGTGAGATCTGGCTATCCTCGCTTCCAAGGAGTATTCCAGCTGCATTTCTTCCAGGACAGAGTTGTTAGTTCTTTTAGCAGGCCATGGTACTTTCAGTATTTTTTGCCAACACCACAACTCAAAAGCCTCAACTCTTCTTTGGTCTTCTTTATTCATTGTCCAGCTTTCACATGTATATGAGGCAATTGAAAATACCACGGTTTGGGTCAGGCACACCCTAGTCCTCAAGGAGACATCCTTGCTCTTTAGCACTTGAAAGAGTCTTTTGCAGCAGATTTTCCCAACACAATACACCTTCTGTTGTCTTGACTGAACTGATACTGAACTGAACGCTGATACTGATAATGTTATTTCCTGCTTTTCTCTTCTGCCAGTAGACCCCTTTTTAGGATTAAATTTGCCCAACTGTGTCACGGCTCTGGTGAAGTCAGATATCCCTAGGGTCAGAGCCAGGGACTGCCACTTTTCATCTCCTACTGCCAATCTGTAATAATACTCTTCTAGTTGGGAAGATATAGAGATGAATAATAAAGCAAGGCCTTATAACTTTCCCTTGTTGTTGTTGTTAAGTGCCGTCGAGTCGTTTCCTACTCATAGCGACCCCACGCACAGCAGAACGAAACACTGCCCGATCCTGCGCCAGCCCCACAATCCCTGCTATACTTGAGCCCATCATCGCAGCCACTGTGTCAGTCCATCTCGTTGAAGGCCTCCCCCT